GAATCAACCCTAACTGTTCTCATGACTTCAGCACCCAGGGACCACACAGCTGCTTTCTCGCTGCCTCGAGCCCTCTCACCCTTTGTCTGATTTTCCAGTGTGTGTTCAAAAACCATACTCAAATTGTGTCTACTTTTAAGTCTCTTCCCTGCATCCTGTGCTTTGATCTTCTTGGATGGTTCAGTTTTTGGGGTAGACTTGGTCTTTGTGGGGTGATTTCAGATCAGCCTTTGGCTCCTCACCCACTGATTCCCTTTGCTCATCACCGGTCTGTCACTGCTGTCAGAGCCCAGCAGGGTGGGGTGGATATGGGTCCGCTGTCATTTGATGGCTTTGGACTTTGCTTATTGTAATGCGCGGTGGTTTTAAATTTTGGCTAGCTTCCTTTTCAAGTCATGCTGAAGGTATGGGTTTTATGTAGCTTATAATTATTATTGGTGGAAATATGGGGAGATTGTTTTCAGCAACCTGCACGTTCCCACAGGTGAAAATGCTAAGAGCACATTTAAGACAAATGATTGTTTTGTCTTCTCCTTTTGGCATATTGCAGTCACATTACCTCATTTAATATGCCTGACTCAGGACAGATGCTACAGCTCCATTTGACAGCTGGAGAAACTGAGGTTCACTAGGCTTTGGTGACGTGAGGAAAGCACACATCTGAGAATGGTAGAGATGACGCCGTGCAAGCAGTATGGCACCAAGCTCTCGCTCTCCCCACGGGACGATGGGGCCTTCCTGGCAGCAGCACTTGGGAAAACCCACATCAGCAAGGGACAGCCACCCAAGACAGGACCACTCATTGTCGCCCCGTGGATCCCAGCTCATCGTGGCTCCGTATGGGGTTTCTAAGACCATAGATCTTCACAGGAGCAGCCAGCCTTTTCTCTGTCTAGCAGTGGCTAGCAGGTTTGAGCCCACACATCTTTCAGTTAGCAACCCAATGCCTAATCCACAGCGCCACCAGGATGCTTCCCACTACATTACAGTGAATATTAACCTGTGCCCTCAACATGTTTGTTCCTTGTCCCTGCCTCGATGTGCGCTCCCTCCTGTCCGTAGTCTCCCTTTCTCCACTTCCCACTCCCTGTCGCTCAGAGTCGAGTCTTTTTGGTCTACTGGAGAAAGTGCTTGTCAGGTCTGCCCCTGGGGAAATGACTCAGTGGATGTTAAATCGGGCTGTCGTTGTCCGCAGCACGCATGAACTAGTGGCAGGAATGGGGCACACTCCTCCAGCTTCTTCACCTCGCTGCAGATGGGGCCTTCTCTGCCTCTGGGCTGCCACTGCCCTGGGCTGAAGGCCAAGGCGCAGCCTTCCCAGAAGCCTGAGGGAGCCCCATGCTTCCTGCAGTGAAAGCCCCAAGAGGCCTTGTCAACAGTGTTTGTCAGCCTCCTTTCGGGTGGGGTGTTTTATTGTCAGCAGTTTTCTTCAAAGTAATTTGATGAGCACCTTAGGGGTGCTTGGTTAACATTTTTGAAGTACCTTAATCAAGAATCCACACTCCAGGGGTGGCTAGTTAACATTTGAAAGGCCCTAATCAGAATTTTTTATTCCAAAGGATACCAGGGATCAGCTCTGTTCCCTCAGTCTGCACCAGTGGGCACACAGATGAGGGCATGAGATGCTAGAAGCCCTTCCTCCTTGGAGAAATGAATGGAATCTCAGACTGGGCTTGAAAC